TAACTTTCTTTTCTGCAGAAGGGGAAAAGTGAGAAATGAAACCAATTTGTTACCTAGTATCTTCCAACAGGCATGTTTAGGACTGAGCTTCTCTTAGTATGGTGCACCAGAAAAGTGAACCCATTGTAACAATGATAACAATAGTAACAATAATAGAACTCGACACTTAAAAAACGGACTCAAAAAATCATTGAATTATTTTTATTCTTATTTTCATTTTTTTCGGAAGGGTGATGAACTGTCATTTACTACATATCAATGAAATTTTGTCATTATTCTTATTCTTATACTTAATACTATTATTACTCTTATTATTATTCTCATTATATTATTGTGACTATTATTATTATTGTTATTATTATTATTATTATTATTATTATATTATTTATATTATTGTTATTATTATTATTATTATTATTATTATTATTATTATTGTTATTGTTATTAGTATTGTTATTATTATTATTATTATTATTATTATTATTATTATATTATTATTATTATTATTATTATTATTATTATTATTTTTCATTATTATTATTATTATTATTATTATTATTATTATTATATCAATGATATTATAATAACAGTAATACCAATAACTAATACCCTATTATTATTATTATTGTTCCTATTATTATCATTATACTGTTGTTATTGTTATTGTTGTTATTATTGATATTATTATTACCATAGAAGCATAGTTGTTGCCAAAAAAAAGTGATGAATAAAGGTTTTTTGATCAGTGTTCGGTCAAATCACTTCAATCAGATGTTACTCCTGTACAACACTTGTTGCGGACCAATTACTCAACGATGTTCAAGATCCCACATGGAGACGCTGGTTGGAAAACATACGCTATGTTCCGCAAACTGACCAGTGCAATGACTTCTTTATGGTAACTTATCCGAATAAAAGCTCCTCTATTTTTTCTCCTACCTTTTAATATTTTTTCCATCAGTTTAAACTAATTCAAAATCAAATGTTTTTGCTTAATTCTTCAAAAGAGTGGTAGATATTTTTTTCTGTTTTTTTTT